GCTTGGGGGTGAGCCCCAGCGAGGGCTTCAGCCTCGCGCCGGGCTGGGCGAGGCTCGCTAGAGGCCCCCTGGCCTCCAGCCGCTCGCCAGACTGACGACTAGCGACCGGCTAGAAGAAGAAGAAAGAAAAAAAAGAAAAAGAAAAGAAAAAATAATTTTTTTTTCAAAAAAAATTAAAATATTATTAAAAGTTGTCCACGTCATCGCCAGCTGTGCCACGTAGGTTGGTTAGCGTCCATGTCAACAATATCCTGTCAAAATTAGCCGGAAGGACTGAATTAGCACAAAGACAAAATGTTTAGGACTCAATTGGTACCAATACAAAAGATTTAGGATTTTTTTGACACTTTTCCCAATAAAAAACAATTGACACATTTTTTGTTATCGAAACAATAACACGTGGAAGAGTCTAATTACAAACCTAAATCTAAAATACACATCAAACTCGTTTAATGATAAATGTGTAAACATTCTTTTACACTCTACTAGTTGTTCTACTGATAATCGGGAAAATTATCAAAAAAGTCCTAAATCTACTGCAATTGTGCCAATTCAGTCTTAAACCTTTTTTTTGTTGGTAAATTCAGTTCTAAACCTTTTGTAATTGTGCCAATTCAGTCCATCTAATGTGGACGCCGGCTGAAGCTGACTTGGCAATTTTTAAATATTTTTTTTGAATTTTTTTTACTTTTTTTTCTCTCTTTCTTTTTTTTTGTTCCTATTTTCTTCCCCGGTCGTCGGTCCGGCGACCGGTCAAAGGCTGAGGCCGGCGAGTCTGGCCCTCGCTGACACTGGCGAGGGCGAGCCTTGGCATCGCTAGGAGAGGTCGAGCCTCGCCATGGCCGAGCGAGCTCGACCTCACCCACTGACGGCGAGGCCGCCCAGATATGGTGAGACCTTGCCGTCGCTAAGCGAGGTCGAGCCTTGCCATGGCCGGGCGAGCTCGAGCTCGACGGCGAGGTCTCGCCAGATCTGGGCGGCCTCACCCACCGACGGCGAGGCCGCCCAGATCCACCCTCGCCGTCGTTGGGCAAGGTCAAGCTTGCCCGGCCATGGCGAGGCTCGACCTTGCTCGTTGACGGCAAGGCTCGCCCTCGTCGGCCTCAGCCTCTGGCCGGTCGTACCGGCGAAGAAGATAGGAAAAAAAAAGAAAGAAAGAGAGAAAAAAAGTAAAAAAAAAATTTCAAAAAAAATATTTAAAAATTGTCACGTCAGCATTGGCCGGACGGCTGGCACCGGCCGGCGTCCACGTCAACACCGGCCGGCCAAAAGTGGCCGAATGGACTGAATTGGCACAATTGCAAGACGTTTAGGATTGAATTGGCCAAAAAAAAGGTTTAGGACTGAATTGACACAATTGCAATTGGTTTAGAACTTTTTTTGTAATTTTCCCAATGATAATCCACAAGATGTTGTGTTTCAATCAAGATCATAAATTTTGATTAGCATGTTAGTCAGGCATCCAAGTTTGATGCAGATAGAAAGGCGCGATTTCCGAAAGATGGTGGCGTTTGATACATTACTACCTTATTTAGTTAAATGGCATATTTTTAAATAAATACTGATCATAGACGAAATTCGTTGTTTGTTATAATCGAAGGCCATGGCCGCAAGAGATACGATTATTGGAAGGTCCATAAAGTATTTTGCAAGCCCCATGAACCACAACTACACAATCAAAATCTTGATTATAAACAGGTTCTGCTGGGAGGCGGATAAGAAGTTTGGAAGATTTCAATTAAAACTCTCCTATGCCAATATTTTACGATCGCATAAACTAAACGCAAGGACGGATCAGCAGGAGCAATTTAACGGGAAAGATAGTATGAAATAAAAAAAAAATATATATATATATATATATATATATATATATATATATATATATATCTGTGTGTGTCGATATATTTTGCGTTGTCCACTTTACAAAACTTCAACAAAAAAAAAGCCATGCAAATGTTGGAATGGGATAGTTAATTTTTTTTAAATGTATTGTAATTATGCCAATTTAGTCGTAAACTCTTTTTTTTGCTAATTCGGTTCTAAACATTTTGCATTTATGTCAATTCCGTTCATCTAGCCATTTTTGGTTGGCCGGCGCTGATGTGAGCAATTTTAAATCACATTTAATTTATTTTTCGAATTTTGTATTTTCTTTTTCCTTTTCCTTTTCCTTTGCTTTTTTATTTTTATTTTTATTTTCTTCCTTCTTTTCTTTTGTTTTTTACCCACAGTGGTCGGCGAGGCTCTGGCCCTTGCCTAGATCTTGGCGATGCTTGGGGGTTGCGGGAGAGGTTAGCCTTGCGCCCAGGTCGCGAGGTGCGATCGCGCCTCACCTACAGTTAACGAGACCATGGCGAGGTGCAGTTGCGCCTCATGACCTGGGCGCGAGGTTGGCCTCGCCTAGTGGCTGGTGAGCCTCGCCTCACTGACCACTGTGGGTAAAAAAAAAGAAAAAGAAGGAAGAAAAGAAAAGAAAAAAATTTGAAAAATAAATAAAAAATTATAAAAAATTGTTCACGTTAGCGTCGGCCGGCGTTCACATCAAAGCCGATCGGTCAAAATTGGCTGAATGGACTAAATTGACATAAATATAAAAGGTTTAGGATTGAATCGATGTAATTATAATAGGTTTTGAACATTTTTTTGATAATTTTCCCATGTTGTATTATACCTATTATTATAAGAATTGCAAGTATTTCTCCTGAGAGCCGCTAAAGTACGCAGGATCTCCACGTGCCCTTTAAGGTCTGAATCGTTCTCGTTGACTGTCCATCTGTCTCCCAATGAAAATCTCTACTATTGTTGATTTTAGTACAACATTTCTTGTAAACTCCTCTCAAAAAGGATAAATACGAATCTAGGATCTCTGTTAGAAACGATGCCCATTGGAAGCCCATGAAACTTCACCGTCTCATCGACATATCCCTATGCCATACCTTTTGACGAAAGGCCAAATCGATTGGACAGAAAACGTGCAAGATTTACATGAAGTCGATTGGACAGAAAACGTGCAAGATTTACATGACGAAAGGCCAAATCAAGGTGTGGCACTACCCGCCTAAGAGAAGAATCCGACTAGGGTTTTGGTTTCATGAAGTCGCATCTTGGGGAGCATTCTATTTGGCCGATCTCCCCCACAAACCCTAGCTGCTCGTATCACCCAAGAACGCAAAAATCGGCTCAAAAAGGTGGAACCCTTTTTCCTAATTCTTGACTTTGTATTTGCTACCCTTCTAATATATATGTAGAAGGTGTACCAAACCTGACGTGAACGTGACAAATAGTTTATATCAGCACAAACTTATTCGTGTAACCCTCTGCAAATCATACTTATAAGGATAAATCGAACTGCTGCTCCGTCAACCATGTGCATAACGCGCAACCTGAACTTGGGATGGCATTTGACTCACCTACTTTTTAAGAGGCGTTTCAGCCCCAATCATCAACCATCCTGCGGCTGACCAACTCATTGAAAAGAACGAGTATGTTTTGGAGTTGTTTCCTCATAAGATAATAAGTAATATATGCAGAATCCTCCCTCTCTCCCTCTCTCTCTCTCTCATTTTTTTTTCTAGTTGGCCATTTGTGCTGACTCGCTCCACTACATCTTTATAAATTCGACATAACTCAGAAATTTAGTGTTTTCTTTGCATAAATATCTATGGATAGGGTTAAACGCGGATCGATCCAAACAGTCAAATCGAACCGAATCAAACTGAAATTATCGGGTCAACTCGATTCGGGGAGGTGATCAAAATCTTAGTCCATAAATCGGATTGGACTAAAATTCGATAATTTGGTCAGGTTTACTATTTTTGTTTCGCAAAACCGAACCAAACTGAACTGTTTTTCTACGAGTTATATGGTCCTGTCTTTTCGAGTTCGGAGACCCCATGTTAATCGGAGTTGTGGTATTATTGTTACACTGAAACTTCATCGCACGATGTAGCTTTATCATTAGATAATGACCGGGGCCCCGGACCAACTCCCAGTTGATGAAGTTTAGCACCAGATGAGAATCAAGAGCATTAGATCACAGAAAGTGAAACGAAAATAGTAGGTAGATTTAGTTCGGTTCAGTTGAATCCGGTTTGGAACCCTTGTATAGTTTGGTTTGATTTCAAATATTTTCATGTGATGTTGACTTCGTCCGGTAAATTTTTCCCATCCGAGCCAGACCATACTAAACCGCGTTCACCCCTATCCTCGGATTTTATTACACCCAAAAGTCAAAAAAGCTAAAATGAAAAGAAAATGGTAGGTAGATTTTAGTTCGGTTCAGTCGAATCCGGTTTAAAACCCTTATAGAGTTCAGTTTCATTTCGAATTTTTCCAAACGATGTCGATTTTGTCCGGTTCGTTTTTCCCATCCGAGCCGGACCATACTAAACCGCGCTCACCCCTATTCGCGGATTTCATTATACCCAAAACTCAAGAACCTAAAACGGCCCTGCCCATCTCTCCTTTACAATTCGATGGAGAGTTATTTCTCAATTTTTCGCCCCGTGCGCAGCGCACGAGCCGCACGGTTCCCGCCCGGTCGCCGTTCCATGTCCAGGTTTACCTACTCGGGTTTTGGCTCGCGCCTTACTCGATCCACGAGATCCCGTCTTCGATTGACAACTTCTCCTAGCAAGCAATTGGTTGGTGAACGATGCGTGTCTGAAATGGTTGGGGGGGCATGACGATCTGCTTTCGTTGCTTCCCACCCATCTCACCAACCCCCTTCCTCCCTTCGCCTACTACGGAGATGAGAATCATTCCCTTTGACGAGTAAACCAAACCATGCGCGTCTGGACTCCTACGTGCGTATCACAAAACAAAGCTACTCTCTCCCCAACATCCCCCACCACTCCACGTGTCGACATCCCGAGGCCCCAGGGTCAAGCTAATCCTACGGCTAATCTCGGTTTTCAACTAACCCGTCGGCCTCACCCACCCATCGAACTCAATGTCAAGATGATGGGCCTTCTATTTAAAGAACCCGACCTTGCATTGCCATCCTCAGGAAAATTTCAATTGAATTCTCTTGAGTTTTCCTTGTAACCACAGTAAGAGAAATACAAAGCAAAAGCTCTCACCGAGTTCTTTCTTCGCATTCATTTCCTTCCACTCATCTCTCCTCTCGTACATTATTTAGTATACGTGGGTTTCGAGAGGCTCGTCGAGCTCTATACCGCGAATTTTGTATCGGGGCCGGACCCGTCTCACGTTGGTTATCGTTCCCGCTGCCCTTTGCGGTGCACGTTCCTAGAGTCGTGTGGAGATGGAGATAGAGAGCGCCAATGGGAGCGGCTTCCATGGCCTTTGTGTCAAGAGCCGCCACGACCCGCTGAACTGGGGGGCGGCGGCGGAGTCCCTCAGCGGGAGCCACCTTGATGAGGTGAAGCGGATGGTCAGGGAATACCGGAAGCCGGCGGTGCGCCTCGGCGGGGCGTCCCTCACGATAGCACAGGTGGCGGCGGCGGCAAGCCGCGAGGGAGTCGAGGTCGAGCTCTCGGAGGCAGCCCGCCCCGGGGTCAAGGCCAGCAGCGACTGGGTCATGGAGAGCATGAACAAAGGGACCGATAGCTACGGGGTCACCACCGGCTTCGGCGCCACTTCTCACCGTAGGACGAAGCAAGGTGGTGCTTTGCAAAAGGAACTCATAAGGTAAATTTAGATTATGTCAATGATTAAATTACTCAATTTCAAATATAATATTAATAATGGGTCAAATTTATGATTGGATATTACTTGTGATCTATATATGTATGTATGTAATAATTTAAAGGTGGTAAGCACGTAAAAGGATAAGGTAGGTGGCTTACGAGGGATCCACTTCACCGGTTTCTTCACCAATAGGTGAAGGGTCATTAAAGCTTAGGTGGCTATTTTTCTTTTCTTTCCTTTTCTTTTTTACAAGATTTTTTTTTTATTTCTTTTTCAAAATTATCTGCAGGGCAATTTTTAACTAGTGTATTCTTGTTCTTGCTGAGAACTAATTTATTATCATTATTAATGATTTCTCCATTTTATTTTCATTTGCAACTTAGATTTTTCATGAACTTTTTTCTTCGATTTCTGAATAATGACAAAAGGAGGGGGGGGGGGGGGGGGGAGGCGGAGAATTCGGAGCGAGGAATAATAATAATGATGAAAATAACTTGGTTGTTTGGAAAATTGGTATCATTTATGGTTTGACTAGTGACAACTATGCTCAAAGTCAGGTGACAAAAGGTTTCATATTTATTAGACTTGGTGACATGTGAGGACTATAAGTGGCCACAACTTTAGGTGGGGGGGCACGACACTGAATGATGGAGCCACCAATCCAATTGGAATTTTGTTGGTGCTAGGAGGAACATAATATATGGTTCGGTTTGATATTCAGTTCAGTTTGCACCAGACTTTTTTGCCAACCCTATTTGTTAGATAAATTGTCGGTAGATGCTCCACTATTGTTTTACCAAATAAAGATCTTTTCGTTGTAGCCAATCGTTTTTTTTTTTCACTTGACTCGTGCCTTCCAATTCAAAATGCATGGACCGGCCAAATTAAAAGGATGGAATGGACATAATAAATAGGCTCATCCTTAACTATCGTGTGTCGGTGTATCGATCGCCGTCTAAGTGGTGGATACTCATCAAACGCGGTATATATATATATATATATGTTATTTATTAGGACGACTAAATACTATACTTATCTATATTCTTGTATCATTTATTTGCATATATATATATATATTACAAAATTCGTCTCTATAGCTGTCTCACCTCGCGAGCCGCGACAAAAAGCTCAAGAGTTAAAATCTGGCCTGAAAAATCTGTTAGCAGTCGTACTCAGTCCTGCCTTGTTTGTCTTCTCCCCTGTATTCACTTCACACGGTTGCAAGTTTAATGCAGAAGAGTCTCTGTAATTACTCGCGAAGTTAATGTAGATGATAATGGACAGTCACGATGCATAATAAACTGCACTAAACAGTAACTTTTGACAGAGAGTTTTTGCTTTGAGCGAGACCTTGAACTGCAAATCTTGCACTGAGCAAGAACTGGGAGAGTTCCTTTGTCTAATGACAGTTTCTGAAACTGGAACAGGTTCTTGAATGCCGGGGTCTTCGGGAACGGCACGGAGTCATGCCATACCCTGCCTCAATCCTCCACCAGAGCCGCCATGCTGGTCCGGGTCAACACCCTCCTCCAGGGCTACTCCGGCATCAGGTTCGAGATCCTCGAGGCCATCACCAAGTTCCTCAACCACAACATCACCCCGTGCCTGCCCCTCAGGGGCACCATCACCGCCTCGGGCGACCTGGTCCCGCTCTCCTACATCGCCGGGCTCCTGACGGGCCGGCCCAATTCCAAGGCCGTCGGGCCCAACGGGAAATCCCTGGATGCCGTCGAGGCGTTCCGGCTTGCCGGGATCGATTCGGGCTTCTTTGAGCTGCAGCCCAAGGAAGGGTTGGCGCTCGTGAACGGCACGGCGGTCGGGTCTGGGTTGGCTTCCATCGTCCTCTTCGATGCCAACATACTTGCGGTCCTGTCAGAGGTCCTGTCGGCGATCTTTGCCGAGGTGATGCAGGGGAAGCCGGAGTTTACAGACCACTTGACGCATAAATTGAAGCACCATCCCGGGCAAATTGAGGCTGCAGCTATAATGGAGCATATTTTGGATGGAAGCGCTTATGTGAAGGCTGCTAAAAAATTGCATGAGATGGATCCACTTCAGAAGCCAAAGCAGGACAGGTACGCTCTCAGGACATCTCCCCAGTGGCTAGGGCCCCAGATCGAGGTAATCCGAGCAGCAACCAAGATGATCGAGAGGGAAATTAATTCGGTTAACGACAACCCACTCATTGACGTCTCGAGGAACAAGGCCCTGCATGGTGGGAACTTTCAGGGGACCCCGATTGGTGTCTCCATGGACAACACTCGCCTAGCAATCGCTTCCATCGGGAAGCTCATGTTTGCGCAGTTCTCGGAGCTTGTCAACGACTTCTACAACAATGGGCTGCCCTCAAATCTGTCAGGCGGGCGCAACCCTAGCCTTGACTATGGCTTCAAGGGCGCAGAGATTGCCATGGCGGCATACTGCTCGGAGCTCCAATTCCTTGCCAATCCCGTTACCAACCATGTCCAGAGTGCGGAGCAGCACAACCAGGATGTCAACTCCCTCGGCCTGATCTCGTCAAGGAAGACCGCTGAGGCAGTCGACATATTGAAGCTCATGTCTTCCACTTTCCTGGTTGCTCTGTGCCAGGCCGTTGACCTGAGGCATTTGGAGGAGAACCTGAAGAGCACAGTGAAGAACACGGTCGGCAGGGTGGCCAGGAAAGTCCTGACAGTGGGCGCCAATGGCGAGCTCCACCCGTCTCACTTCTGCGAGAGGGACCTGCTTAAAGTGGTTGATCGCGAGCACGTGTTTGCCTATGCCGATGACCCCTGCAGTGCCACTTACCCGCTGATGCAGAAACTGAGACAAGTCCTAGTTGATCAGGCGCTGGTGAACGGCGAGAGCGAGATGAACCCGAGCACCTCGATCTTCCAAAAGATCGGGGCTTTTGAGGAGGAGCTCAAGGCCCAGCTGCCAAAGGACGTCGAGGGCGTTCGAGCCCAATACGAGAAAGGCAGCCTCGCCATCCCCAACCAAATCAAGGAATGCAGGTCGTATCCATTGTACAAGCTGGTGAGGGAAGAGCTGGGGACTTCCCTGCTCACAGGCGAGGATGTGATATCACCCGGTGAGGACATCGACAAAGTCTTCACTGCGATTTGTGCTGGAAAATTGATTGATCCACTGCTGGAGTGCCTAAGTGGTTGGAACGGTGCCCCTCTTCCCATCTCTTAGGGAAGGAAATGTCTTAGATTCTTTCTTTCTTCCTGTTACTTGCCAAGTAAATCTCATGCACGAAATCGTTTATTTCAAGAGGCAATTGTATTTTCTTGTTTTCGGTATGTTCCTTTTGTCTTCTCACAAGTGAAGAACTCTGGTATATAGATACTGAGTACACTTTTTACATGATATCAACTGCTTTCTCGACCAATCCAACGTACATTTTTGTGGAGGAACAAGAGTTTATTATACCGTCCTCCACCAATGGCATCGGAATTCGACCGTCGGGGCATTATGTATGAAACTCTATTCATATTTGTGACCTTTAAACTCACTGGCATTCATCTTTTACCTTTCATTTTGCAAATGGAGCGAATCAAGAAACAGGTTGAATGTACGTAAAATAACAGAGCCACCCCACCCCTGTTTTTCCTGTGTCCTGCATGCCCGCCACGTACTGGTGAAGATTTTCTTTCGTTTCTCTTTCCAAACTCAAAAACCCACCACCAGCGTTTTTCGATCAGTCAAAGCTCGCATCCGCGAAAGCCACCTGGATCTCTCGGAAGTCGGTCGATCTTCCATGAATGGCGGTTTATATAAGCGCCCTGATCTGTCCAAGCTTCATCCGCACTTCCATGGTGATTCCAAGCCAACATCTCTCGGTTACTTCCTCTGCTTCAGCCACAATCCGAGATAAAGGAACCAGCTTTCGTCCATGGCGATCTCATCGCTCCTTTATAACCCATACCCATCTTTTTGTACTTACAGAAGGAGCAAAATTTCTGCTAAACCCATCGCTTACACTTCGCTCAAGACCCAAAACCCTAACCCAACTGCTCAACCCAATTCTCTCTCCAGAGACTGCAAGGCCTCATGGACAGAGGAGCTCAAGAAGGCTTACCAGAGAGAGATTCCCAATCTGAATTGGGACAAACTCGAGGAATTGGGCGATGAATCGTTCCAGAACCTGGTTGACAAGCGATGTGTGGACAATGTTAGGATGCTGATCGTGGATTCGGTCCAGAATGCGAAGGCGGGACACCCCGGGATGGCGCTCGGGATGGCCGGGGTTGTGTGCTTGTTGTACAGGCATGTGATGAAGTATAATCCCAAGAATCCCAAGTGGTTCAACAGGGACAGGTTTGTGTTGAGTGCCGGGCATGGGTGCTTGCTTCAGTACGTTTGTCTCCATCTCGCTGGGTTTGAGTCTGTTCAGGTCTGTAAAATGTCCCGGTGTTCAATTTGTGAACTTTTCGTTTGCCCAGTTCAGAGGATGTCATATGTTTGCTTTAAGTCTCGAGAACGAATTGTGCGTAAAACTGAATTCAGTTATTGCTTTGCTGGTTATTCATTTAGTTGTTGGCACTTGTTCTGACGATGATCGTGAGTTGGGCCTTTGAAGCTGAACTTTTGGGCTTGATGTTGGACGATTATGGTGTTGTTAGTTTGCCATGTGAGAAACTTTTAATGATATAGGAGTGCTAATGAGCAGAGTCGCAGCTCTTGTGCAAGAAGTTTCTTCTTTACAATCACTTAAGATGCCAAATATTTATGAAGCTCTCTCCGATCTAAATGAAAATGTTTCGTCTGCGTAGTTTCTGTTGCCCTTGATTTGTCTAACTTTTTTGGTGGGAGCTTTTTGTCGACTAGAATTGCATCCTTTGAAAGATTGGACTTGCAATACTCTCTTCTTACCCTGTTCTAGCGTATGGAACTTTACCTAAGTCTAGATTAGGGTCTCTGGAATCTTAGCTTAGGAGGCTAGTTGCGAACATTTTATCTGCTTGATTTAGGAACATTTCTTCTCCAGATAGAAGACCTAAAGCGCTTATGCCAGCTTGGCAGTAGGACTCCTGGACATCCAGAGAATTTGGTTACCAGTGGCATTGAAGTCACCACTGGTATGTTCAGTTTTCAATTTTCTCTTGTGCAACTCGAAATAAAAAAAATAACTGGAGTTGGAGTGTTATTACCATGTGAGACTTGCGAGAGGGAAACACATGATACTTGAAAAAATCAGCGGGAATGAGGCATATTCATTTCATAATAGACTCAAAATAGCAGAATTGACTCAACGGTGTAAGTTCAAGAACTTGTTATCTGTCCTACAAATCATTGCTTCTGGCTTTTTCCTTTCTTTGGACATCTTTCGGCGCATTTGTCCATATGATACTTACTCGAAAAAAACTGCAGAAATGAGGCATATTGATTTCATAATAGACTCAAAATATTAGAATTGACTTAATTGTGGAAGTTCAAGCACTTGTTATCTGTCCTACAAATCATTGCTTCTGGCTTTTTCTTTTCTTTGGACATCTGTGGGCGCATTTGTCCTCTTAGACAGGAAAGATGGTTAATAAAGGAAACGAATCTGGTCTTTGGTCCATTATGTACTGTAGAAGTCTTCACTTAGATGGTCTATGTCTCTGGTTAGTTTCATTAGCTGAGTTCTTTCTTCAAGTTTTTGTTCACTTGCATATTCGCGTGGTTGTGAACTGTGATTACAGGCCCCCTCGGACAAGGTGTAGCAAATGCAGTAGGTCTTGCCTTGGCTGAAGCTCACCTAGCTGCTAGATTTAATAAACCTGATGCTGTCATTGTTGATCACCGAACGTGAGTTGAACAAACTGGTTCTCTGTGACAGCTTATGAGAAACCGTGTAGTTATGATTATTGTTGGTAACTTTACTGTTGAAATATAGGTATTGCATAATGGGGGATGGATGTGCAATGGAAGGAATAGCCCACGAAGCTGCGTCCTTGGCTGGTCATTGGAAGCTCAACAAGCTTACACTGATTTATGATGATAATCATAACACTATCGATGGACCCACCACGCTTGCTTTTTCTGAAGATATCTCTGCTCGGTTCAAGGCTCTTGGTTGGCATACAATCACAGTTGGCAACGTATATGCTGATATGAGTCCATTCAAGGATGCACTTCTCTCTGCTTTCAATGAGACAGAGAAACCCACTTTCATCAGGGTTAGTAATAGTCAAGCCTTAGAATTTGGAACGCTGTGATCTGTCACTTTAGAGCTTATTCCTATTTTAGCAAACGTAAAACCATTTTGTTGATCTCACTGAAGATCGAGCCTTTTGTCATTGTCTGCTTACTTCAGGTGAAATCCCTGATAGGTAAACTGTCTAAAAAAGAAGGGACATCAAAAGCTCATCATGGAACCTTCAGCGAAGATGATGTAAACAACATGAGACAAAATGTTAACTGGACTGATAGAGAGCCTTTCCATGTCATCCCTATGATATACAGGTTTCTTTTAATTTTCAATTCAATTTGGAGCTATTTCTAGCATTACACTTTACCCAAAAAAAGGACGGGATTGGGGATATATCTAAGCCTAACACAAATAAACTACTCATTTGATGCAGGGAGATGCTTAAGCAAGCAGATCTTGGGGAGACTGGAAAAAGAATGGTTCTCCAACCTTTACTCTTACCAGATCAAATATCCCCAAGAGGCGACAGAATTTCAGATTCTTCTTAGTGGGGGTCTGCTTCCTGGTTGGGAAAACTCGCTCCCGGTAATTGAACCGCTACTTGGCCTTACCCGTCTCTTTGGTTGTTTTACTGTTTGGGTTTACCCTCTAAATCAACGAGTTCTCATGAGTGCTACAGTGTTCATTATATACTTTAAGCATTGTATTGAGGGATGCACACCGATTTATCTTGATTAAGTGGTTCTCTCTAGTAGACTGTGTCTAGAGAAATAACTCTTCCATGGCTTCACTACACTTATGAACTTTCTTCTTTCAAATGCCGGGCTACAGTGATTATAACTCTAAAACATGATCACTGAACTGTCTAAACAGAGGTGGTCACAGTCTGATCCAGTGGATGCCACCCGTGGAAGTGCTTAAACCAGCTCTCTAAGGTCCTTCCTGGGTTGATTGGTGGGAGTGCGGACCTTGCAACCTCCAACAAAGCTTATCTCCACAATTATGACGACTTCCTGCCAAGCTCTCCTTGGGGTCGTAACATCCGTTATGGCGTTCGAGAGCATGCAATGGGGGGCATTTCAAATGGCATTACTTTGCATGGAAGCGGACTCATCCCATTCGCAGCCACATTCCTTGTATTCTCAGACTACATGAAGAACACTATCCGGCTTGCTGCTCTAAGCCACGCTGGAGTGATCTACATCATGACCCACGATTCTATTGGACTAGGGGAGGATGGTCCTACACACCAACCAGTGGAGCAGCTTGCTGGACTCCGTGCCATCCCACGCCACCTAGTCTTCAGACCGGCCGATGGGAACGAGACTGCCGCGGCCTACAAGATCGCCGCGGCGAACCGGGCTACTCCTAGCCTCATTGCACTGTCTCAGCAGAAAGTAGCTTCAAATGTCACAGGGACGTCGATGGACGCGGTCAAACGGGGCGGTTATATGATCAGTGACAACTCAGGGGAGCAGATGCCCGAGATAATATTGATTGGCACGGGATCGGAGCTTTGCCTCTGCGAGGGGAGCGCAAGGAGGTTGAGGGAGGCAGGGAGCAGGGTCAGGGTGGTGTCGCTCGTGTGCTGGCGCCTCTTCGATGGGCAACCGAGGGAGTACGAGGAGCAGGTGTTGCCCTCGAACGTGGTCAAGCGCGTGAGCGTGGAGGCTGGGTCGCCAGTTGGGTGGAGGGAGTACGTGGGACGAGAGGGCGTGGTGGTCGGAGTGGATGAGTTTGGTGCAAGCGGGCATTATTTGGACACAGTCAACAAGTATGGCTTTACTGAGGAGAACATTACCCGGATTGCCGACATTTTGCTGTGCAAGTGAAGAAGCAGGTGCTGATCGTTGGTGCTCTTTTTGATGGGTGAGTGCATGCTTTGACTATGTAATATAGTGAGAACAATGATCACATGAGATTGAAAGATAAGATTGCACCGCTTGTATATCAACCGAGTGTGCATTTTATCAAAGGAAGATCTTTCAACATGGGATTATCAATGCTATTTTCTTTTTCTCAATTGCTGTTTAAGTTAGATCTATTTGATTTCAAAACTATGAAGTAAACTTAAGAAAGTAACGAAACTGTGTTTGCAGTTTTCCTGTCATAGTCGTAAAAGTCAAAGTTCTATGCTATGAATTCCCATACTGGCTGAGCAAAGATCTACGAATTCTCATAGAGGCAGCTTCTTGGTTGAACTGTACCTAATGCCTCCCCGTTCGCGTTTGCGCAAGATGACCGAGTCACTTCATCATCGAGGCTCGTCAAGTGCACATTCCTCATTTGTATCCTGGTGCACGGGTTCTCGGCACTGCAGTTGAACCTTACGGCGACGGGCGTGGCGGACGTTCCTTGGATGCCTCTATATAGAACGTCGCTTATCTTCACGCTCGACTCCTATTTGTCGCGATTGTCATTCTCAGATCATAAGATAGAATCAGGACATAAAACTCGTCAAGAGGAAAAGATTGCGTACATGAGATGAATCACCTGGTTGGGGCAAGTTTGGCTGTCATATGGACAGTAATTCTGGTCAATGATGATGGGGTTATGGGCATTGATCATCCTAGCATTGATGAAATGGACTCCTTGCACAAATCCATTACTAGGCCTCGCCCATGATTTGATCCTTAATCCATTTTGGGTACCTTGAAAAGTGGTGTTTTTCACTATGATATTTTGTACTCCGGTTTCATTCTCACTTCTTGCTAGGCTTCCTATGCTGCAACCAAGAAAGTATACTGAAATCATAAATGGAAATAATAAAATATATGATGCACTGACCATCTTCAGTGTAAATTATACTTCAAGAAATTTCATACACTTTGAGTGCTGGGCTTATCATTAAATACACATAATCCTTTTCACCAGAGATTTCGTACATTCATCGAATCACTAAATATGAAAATTTGAACATACTTGAACATAGAACTCTCTCTTTGTTGTTTCCTATTCTACGATCCTGCAATCTTCTGAACTTTCGGATAAAGGATAAGGATCTGTTATATGATTCCTATATATCTCTCATGTCAACAATATACTTGCATACAGCGAAGAATCGATATATTGAAACAGGATCGTGATTCTCTTAACTTAGAAGACTAGATCGATTCGATCCATGCACCCGGGGAACTCCTACGAGTCATACCTGATGCCATGACCAGGGCCACACCTAACGCCTTGGATCCTCAGGTTCTGAGTACCCGGGCCAATCGAGATGCAATCATCCCCAGTGGCAATGTCCGAGCGAAGAATCGAGACGTTCGTCGAGAGCTGGACATGGATTCCATCTGTGTTGGGGCTGTTGCCGTCAGCCTTCACTCTCAACCCTTGAATGCGAACGTTCCGGCACCTGTTTATGGAGATGTGGAACATTTGGCTGTCCATGGACATTAGATCTTTTATCCTGATGTTGTTAGAGTTGGTGAAGCTCAGTGTCTGCATATTAGAACAGCCAGTGAAAACAAGTTTAATTCAGGGTACATTTCCAATAGAAAGGGCGATTTATAAAGTTTGGATCACTGAGTACTCAAGATAAGATCTAAATGCACCCACAATATTTTCTTTACAGGTACTGCAGAGGAAAACTATCCTTATCTCTCTGCCATTGATGAGGGAAGTAAGTCCAATTCTGGAAGAACTGAAGACGCTTAAGCATATGCTGCATATGCTTATAAAGCTTTTCATTTCTTCTAATAAATCCGAATATATACTTGCAAGCAGGTCCATTCCACCACTCACATTACAGCTTGATTGAAGGTGCTTTATGATTGCTCGAGATCGACTCATTTGATTTCGAGTTGAACTAAAATGCTAGAGCTACTCGAATACTCAATCGCGTCAAGCTTAAGCTCAAGCTCGCTAATATGTAGTTTGACAAGCTTGCAAGTCTCATCAAACCTGTGTATTTTCTGAAAAATTGAGCCCACGTGATGGTACTAGCTCTAGAAGAAGAAAAAAGAATTAGAACAAAAAAGTGAAGAAATCACCCCTTAGCCACCGAAAAAAGAGAGTGAAGAAATAATATCTCCATATTATAAGTTGATGGCACGACATGTCATCAATTTCAATTTTGTTGTGCTTAATGTGGGCCCTACATGAAATTCACATAATCAGATGATTGAGATGAAGTGAGCTCACATGCATCGGACACATGCGATACTTATTTAAACAAAGCCATTCTCTCCCCTTTCTACCTAAGCAACACTGTACTTCCCAGTACTAAGGACCACCCGATTTCCCGTGAGACTTCAATTAGAGTTATGCTAAGTGTCAAATCTCCAAATGAATAATGTACTAGAATAAAACCCTTCTCTATTTTTCCTCTTCCAACCTAACCACCGCAACACATCTCTAACATCCAAGTTGCATACCGAAATGGATGAGGCATTCTAATGTTATTCGCAAGGATGATCCATTTTCAATTTATCACCACTTAATATACTCATGCGGGGACTTATCCCATATGAAATGAGTTGTATCGTTATAAACGGTATCCGATAAGGATCCTCTTCAGTTGATGTATGATTTGTGAACAAACTAAGCTCAAACCTGATTTGACCAGGGTGTGGAGATTAATCGCCGGGTGAGAGGGTTTGAACGAAGGGTGACTTTTCATAGATTTTTAGAATGATAAATGGGGTAGGACCAATCATATATTGAATAGGGGAAGTATCCTTATGTGATACATGCCAACACAAATTTAAGTGGGCAAGTTGTTAACATCTCAAATTCCGCATCGGATGGGTAAGACCTTGTGATGTTATTCATGAGAAATTCATTCCCAAATGATCACCGTTTTGAGTAATTACTCAAAGTACTTCTTTAGGAGCGTGTCCTACATGGAATGGGCTGGCTTTATATGACATCACAGCTCTCTACCTACACCACTACCATCGTTGATGGAAAAAACTACTAATAGCCATCGCGGAGGACTACTACCTTTGACCATGCTCCTAAGAAAGGCGCACGCATGAGATCTCCAAATGTAAAGGAGATCTTGCAACCGAGATGTGGAGGCATCAAGTAGAGAGAGAGAGAGAGAGAGAGATTAAAGAGGGGATGATCTAGAAATGTAAGATATACAACGGGCACAAGTATGTGGCTGAGCGACTGACAATCTGTTTTGGAGAGAAGATGGTAGATACAGAGGAGAGGGTGGAGGATGTACAACGGTCGAAGTTTTGTAGCTGAGCAACACGATAATGGTGGCGCCTTCATGGTAGGTCGTATAACTACGGTTGCTCTGATATGTGTCCTTGTTGTCTAATTAAGTGGAGGGGCCTAAGAAAAGCTGAGTACCACCGGCAGCCTCTTGCCTTTTCTTTTTCCTTCAAAACTTCCCATAAAGATGTCAAATTACTTTCTAAATCGGGTCTTTTCGGAATTTCCTCAAATTAATGGATCGATAAATATTAATAACAGCAACATGGGGTCGTGTCATGTGGAGAAATCGACCAATAAAATATAATTTCCAAAATCAAACCCAAAATATAGTTAGTATGTATATCATAAGAGTGATGTAAATTACCCTATATTAGACGTGTGATTGACATGTGATCTGAAATGTTTTTCTCATTAATTAGACGTGTGCTGATACCACCCTATCCTAGCATGAAATTAAGTTTTCATTGGCGGCTGGACATGTGATAAAAGTTTTGGCCCGAAGGGGAAAAGGAAAAACCAACCCAACTTTAGAATCGAACCGATCTCTGAAGGTGCAGAAGTTAAAGTACGTTACCGTGGCTCCGTCGGGACAGTTGCGGCCGGAATCCTTACAGGCCCACAGAGACGGTCCTTTGGCATCGAGAACCCCGCCGTGGATGGACGTGTTCGAGACCCCATTGAAGCTCAACCAGCTCGAGCCGCCGCCGAGGACTCTATAGTCCAGAGGAGCCACCAGCGTCGCTCCTCTCATCCTCATGCTCACGTGCCTGCTCTTGCAAGGGCCTCCGAATCGCACCGGCCCAAGGAGGTAGCTCCCGTTCCTCACTAGAATGGTCACGAAGATGTCGCCGCGGCCGCATGCCGACGTCCACGCATCGCAGAAGGCTTGGGTCGAGTCGGCCGCCCCAGTCGGGTCGGCGCCGAAGTCTAGGACGTCAAAGAGTGTGAAGGTAGACGAAGACGCGCGCGAGAGTGAGAGGATTAGAAGGAAGAGGAGTGTCCAGACAAGATGATCTGGGAGGTTCGCCATGTAATCGAGAGAGAGAGAGAGAGAGATTGGAAATGGCGCATTTTTCTTGCAAGCATAAGGTTGAGAATTTAGGCAGGCATTTTGGTAAGGAGGAATTAATGAGTGAGAACTTCAAAAAGAACAATTGGCCCATAGTTCGTCTGCAAATAATCCGTCAAACCCACATTGAGTCCCACTAAAAGACTACCATTTCTTGTGTAATTTGCGTATCTGATTAGTTCGGTCAATTACATAGCTCTCGTAGATTAATCTGTGCAATATTCTCTCGATAGGTACAGTCAACGTGCCACCTAATCACGACACTGTAAAGAATGTTCAATAACGAAAGTAGCGATAGATCAACATGTTCGATATGAGAAATTTCGATAAGCTCAATCGAATTGTTTGGTGAAGACAGCTTTAAGGAAGGTAAGATTAAATTTGCATTTGGCAAGGTAATAAAAATGTGGCAATACATAGAAACCGCAAGTTAGGAGCCCCTTCATGTGACATGTTTAGTGGTTTATCCTAGGACAATCCCAACACACAAAAAAAAAAAAAACTTAGGATGTTCAGAGTACACTGAAAAAAACCTAGAGGCAAAAGCTTAATCAAAGCATCTCAACAATTTGTAAGGCAAAAGCTTATCTGGTTCATAACCGCCACTCAATTAACATTAATATTTCTCTTGTACATCAAACTGAATTTATACCAATCTGAAAAATTATTGAGATCGCGTAATAACTTCTATGTACGAGAACAAACACACTCTCGAGACAATAATATTTGGTATTTAATCTTGTAATCGGGGGAATTCTTGCCTGAATCCGAGACTACCGGATCGAATTTATCATAACTGTTAATTATGTGATGAGAGGTCCATGTGGACCGTTGATTTTGCGAGATCTGATATTTCGAATCGCGCAATAACTACAGTGTACGAGAACATGACGTATTGTCGAAACAACAACACTCGATTTTATCTTGTAATTAGAGAGCTTCTCGCCTGAAATTAAGTCCACTGGATCGAGCTCATCATGACCATTATTTTCAATAGATCTCCATGAGATTCACGTGAAATCCACAAAGCCAATGGCGGAGATCAATCCGGTGCAATAAACGCGAGTCTAAAGAAGAAATTATCCTGTAATCGCGGTGCTAGGAAATGAAACTTAGCTGACTGGCATGGTCCATAGGGAACAGAAATATGAGCAGGAAAGTTACTGTATGTTGAGCTATTTCCTTGAAGAGCCGAACTTGTAGGCAATATATAATTCGTGGGTTGGTTCAGCTACTTCCTAGAGAGCCGAACTTTCAGTTTTTCAGATGGGAAATTGTAGGAGAGAGTTGATAGGAAGAAGTAGAATCAGGGTTTAGGTTAGGCAGATGCTAACCTGATTCGGCTACTACATACTCACAATTCTGGTTCATTTAGGTTAGACCTTGGCAGCCACAAACCCTCGAGATTGCTTTAACATGTCCTCCTTTCTGGTTCTGCATATCCTTCTTTGGCACTCTTCGTGTAATGGGACAGTGGCAGACGCAGAACAATCGGCTCTGCTCTATTCCCTCTCTAGATGTTAGTAAGCAAGTAGAACCATGTATATCTTGCGTGTCCTTGAATCCCGTGTGCTCATTTTCCTTCCTTGATTCGGTCCGCGTCCGTGGTCGTTTACACCTCGGTCACCTCACCCTTCGCTCGGTTGGGTCGAACATGGTCATCTGCACTTCGGTGTTCTTAAACTCGATCTTTCCTCGCTTTTATTATAGAGTTGATCTCCCTTGAGGTTTTTTGTTTTCCATGAGTAGATTACATCGGTGTCCATTTTCGATTTTTTTTGGTTAGATCGCCTTCACTTCTAATCAAATCACTCAATCTGCAAAATTCATTAGAAACATATGTTGGGAAAATGCGTGGTGAAGGGATGAAAATCACGGGAAAAAGTAAAGAAAAGAAAAATAGATAATTGGGCAAGGCGTATAAATGATAAACTATTTTAAGGCTTCATTTGTTTCACAGAAAATGAATTATTCAGAAACATTTTCCTAAAAATCATCATTTATATCGTTTAAAATAATTAGTTGATAGTAAATATTTCGTTTTTTTTTTGGTCAAGAGGAAGATCATTTATATCGTTTAAATTAGTTGATAGTAAATATTTAGTTTTTTTTTTGTCAAGAGGAAATATTTTGTTATCGACCACAATATATGTCGAAGCATTTTCATAAACAGTAAAAATATTTCTCACCCAGTGCCGGCAAGGGCCGGCGGCCCTCAGCCAAAAAAGAAGAAGAAGTAAAGAGCAGAGAAAAGAAAAAAGAAAAAAAACCAAAAAATTATAAAAATAATATTAAAAATATCCACGTCAGTGCTGGCCATGCCATGTAGGATACTCAGCATCCACATTAGCGATTTCTGATCAAAATTTGCTAGATAGACTCAATTGGTACCAACGTAAAAAAGTTTAGGATTAAATTGGTCCGATTAAAATGTTTAAAACTGAATTGGTACCAATACAATAAATTTAAGACTTCCTTGGTACTTTTCCCTTTAAATATTATGTTTCTTTCCTTCTATTTCAATATTTGAAAGAACAATATTTTGAAGACCTCTCTTCGAAATGATAGATTAACACAAATTTGTTCGCAATTTTTGTACTAGTTAAAAATGGGAAAATTAGAGCATACACCTTCACCGTAAAAATTACACAAGCGGCCTTATCTACATTGATTTGGGGGTTTTTATTTCACACTCTCTCACTGAATCAAATTAAGGGTGGATAAGGCCGTCAAGGAGAACGTTTTTTACCCTAGCAATGTATATGCTATACTTTCTTTTAGAAAGTTGTGTTTACTCTTTTGAGTATGATTGTCGTACAAATTAAACATGTTGCGTGATCGTATTAAATTACAATAAACTCGAACTTTACATATATAACGAATCTCTCCCATACAGAAGTTCCTTCTTTAGAAAAAGATGAAGCACATATCGTAAGCCCTTGAAGACACTTGATTTTACTCACTTCAAGTTAATAGTCTTCTGGTTGCCCCTAAAGTCAACATGGACAATCACAGCAAGGAAGAGGACTTTTGGGCAACAATGTGCACTAGTGCAATTAGGTAAGTCCAATCCCAAAAGTGTGAGGAGTAGGTGTAGAGTGTACATTGCCCATAAAGTCAACATGGACAATCCTGTCGTGGAATGCTTCTTTTGAATCGTCCAGCATTGGGAAAAATTACCAAAAAAATCCTAAACTTTTTGCAGTTGTGCCAATTCAGTCCTAAATTTTTTTTTTGGCCAATTCAGTCCTAAACCTTTTGCAATTCAGCCAATTCAGTCCTTTTGGCCGGCCGGAGCTGATGTGGACGCTGGCCGATGACGTGGCCATATTTTAATATTTTTTTCGAATTTTTTTTTCCTTTCTCTTTTTTTTTTTCTTTTCCTTCTTTCCCCTGGCCGGACTGGCCAGGGGGAAGCTCGCCGGCGAGGTCCACTGGGGAGGCTCGCCGTCGCCGGGCAAGGCGAGGCGACCTCGCCCAGCTTCGCCACGGCTGTGCGACGGCAAGGGCCGGCAAGGGCGAAGCTCTCCATGGCTGGGCGAGCTCTACCCTCGCCGCCGCTGGGCGAGCTCGGCGTCACCCAGCTCGCCCAGCGGTGGCGAGGGCAGAGCTTGCCCAGCCATGGCGAGCTCCGCCCTCGCTGGTCCTCACCAGTGCCGACGAGGGCGAGCCTCGCCGTCGCACAACCACGGCGAGGCTCGACCTCGCCAGATCTGGGCGAGGTCGCCCTCGCCGGCCGCTCGCCATGGCCGGGCGAGGGCGACCTCGCCCAAATCTGGCGAGGTCGAGCCTCGCCGTGGCTGTGCGACAGCGAGGCTCGCCCTCATCGGCACTGGTGAGGACCGGCGAAGGCGGAGCTTGCCATGGCTGGGCGAGCTCTGCCCTCACCGTCGCACAGCCGTGGCGAGGCTGGGCGAGGTCGTCTCGCCTTGCCCGGCGACGGCGAGCCTCCCCAGTGGACCTCGCCGGCGAGCTTCCCCCTGGCCGGACTGGCCAGGGGGAAGAAGGAAAAGAAAAAAAAAAAAGAGAAAGGAAAAAAAATTCAAAAAAAATATTAAAATATTACCACGTCACCGGCCGGTGCCGGCCGGCGTCCACGTCAGCGCCGGCCAACGTCCACGTCAGCTCCGGCCGGTCAAAAAGAGAATTGGCTGAATTGCAAAAGGTTTAGGACTGAATTGGCAAAAAAAAAAGGTTTATGACTGAATTGGCACAACTGCAAAAGGTTTAGGACTTTTTTGGTAATTTTCCCTCCAGCATTGTGATAGAAAGGCCACAATACATGTGCTAATTGGGTAGCCACAGCTTTGGCATAGATGGAATGATTGAACTTTACTATAGCTCTATCTCTATTTTGGTAGCATATATTATCCGTTGAAAACTTAACACAATTGACATACTACCAGAGGTTCTTTAGGAAAGAATTCTAACGTGTTAGTAATCCTAAAAGGTCAAAGAAACTACGCCAAAAGGGGTAGTCTAGGTGGTTCCTCTCTTTCGCCCCAGAAGATGAGGGACCAGTTCTGCCAAGAGGCCCTTTTTGTATGGATTAATTCAACTGAGCATAAAGCCCAAAGAATCAAGGAGGCTAAAAGCTCACAGCCATAGGGAAATAGAGTTTGAGAAAATACAGAACCCAACACGCTGAAAACGAAAGTTTAGAAACCCACTTCTTCCACGGAATCAGGGTTTTATGTTGCTAGAAGAAACTTCTAATGCAACATTCAAAAGTCTTACATTGGATCGGGTGGGAGATACCACGTGGAGAGATTCATAAGTAATCACCGACCCCTAATGACCATCACCTGGGAAAAGTGCCAAAAAAGTCCTAAATCTTTTGCATTAGTGCTAATTTAGTCCTAAACCTTTTTTTGGTGCCAATTCAGTCCTAAACCTTTTGCATTGGTGCCAATTTAGTCCTAAACCTTTTTTTGGTGTCAATTCAGTCCTAAACCATTTAAATTGGTGCCAATTCAGTCCTAAACTTTTTGTTTTTGTGCCAATTTTGACTGGAATTTGCCGACATGGACGCCTGCCGGCCGGCGGCCGGTCACCGGCGCCG